TGGATAAAGAAGATGTGGTACATATATACAATGGAATATTGTGCAGCCATCAAAAGGAATAAGATCTTGCCATTTGCAACGACGTGGATGGAACTGGAGGGTATTATGTTGAGCGAAATAAGTCAAACAGAGAAAGACATGTATCATATGACCTCACTGATATGAGGAATTCTTAATCTCAGGAAACAAACTGAGGGTTGCTGAAGTGGGGGGTGGGGTGGGAGGGATGGGGTGACTGGGTGATAGACACTGGGGAGGGTATGTGCTATGGTTAGCACTGTGAATTGTGCAAGACTGTTGAATCACAGATCTGTACCTCTGAAACAAATAATGCAATATATGTTAAGAAAAAAAAAAGAAGATAGCAGGAGGGGAAGAATGAAGGGGGGGAATCGGAGGGGTAGATGAACCATGAGAGACGATGGACTCTGAAAAACAAACTGAGGGTTCTAGAGGGGAGGGGGGTGGGAGGATGGGTTAGCCTGGTGGTGGGTGTTGAGGAGGGCACATTCTGCATGGAGCACTGGGTGTTATGCACAAACAATGAATCATGGAACACTACATCTAAAACTAATGATGTAATGTATGGGGATTAACATAAGAATAAAAAAATTTAAAAAAATGAGAGGAAGAAAATAAAATAAGAACACAAAAATAAGAAACAAAAATGGGGAAATAATCTCCAGAACATAGGAATTTTAAAAAAATAATAAAACTAATTTGTACAACTCCATATTAAGTAAATGTGATGAAATGGACAATTTTCTGGGAAAATGTAAAGTTACTAAAACTAACCCCATCAGAATCCAAATTCTCATCAGAATCCAAAATCCAGGGAAGTTCCAAAAACCAGATGATCCAATTAAGAATCTTAAATTCTTTTTTTTTTTTTTTATCAATTCCTTATACACTCTTGGTTTTCTTTGTTCTTTCTCTTGCTTTTTGAGTTGCCTTTTTAATTTGTTTTCATTGTTATTGTATTTAATGCAACAAAACTTCCTCAAAGCACTGATCATAGATAATGTCTTATTATTTTTAGGAGTTTATGTACTTTCATTTTCTATTGGACTGAAAAGTTGAAATTTTTTACATTAATTTCCTGTTTTATTGCATTATAGACAGAGAATGTGGTATGTCTTTATTACTCATGTTTTATCAAGGTTTTCTTTGGGGCATTTGTCAGTTTTCAGACATGTCCCGTACGCACTTGAAAAGGTGTGTTTGCTGTTTTGGGGATTCAGAGTCTGGAACGGTCTCTAAGATCTGCCTTGTTCTTTTTTTTTTTTTTTTTTTTTTAAGATTTTATTTATTTATTTGAGAGAGAGAGACTGAGAGAGAGCGAGCATGAGAGGGGGGAGGGTCGGGAGGGTCAGAGGGAGAAGCAGACTCCCTGCCGAGCAGGGAGCCCGATGCAGGACTCGATCCAGGGACTCCAGGATCATGACCTGAGCCGAAGGCAGTCGCTTAACCAGCTGAGCCACCCAGGCGCCCCAGATCTGCCTTGTTCTATTTAGGGCTTGTCACCTGTACCAGTGAGATGTCTGGGTCTGTCTTGGACTGACGGGAGCCCCGTTAAAGCCCGCTGTTAGGGTGTGTGTCTGTGTCTCCTTGTACTTGCTGGAGTTCCTGCTTCATAACAGTGACTGCTGTGTGATTTGGTGAGTAAGTTTTCATGCCCGCCATCTCTTTATTGTGCATTTTAGCCGTTAGCATCACTAAAGACACTGAAGTGTCTTGTGCTTTGGGCAGTTCTGTCATCTGATAAGATCACAACCCCTGTTTTAGGTGTATTTTCATTTGCTTGGTATGTATTTTGCTTATCCTTTTTTCTCACAGCTTTGTAAACCTGCCTGAAAAATCTTTTCCCTTTAGTGATTGGTTTAGGCTCATTTAAACTGAATAAGCCAGTTTCTTCGTGTAACTGACAAGTTTGGGCTCCACACTGTTCTCTATTCCTATATGTAGGCTTCTGCTTATTATTAGTTTTCTGCCCTTAAACAGTGACATTCTGCGGGGAAAACTCTCACCTGAGGCCCATTTCTTTTCTTTTATTCTATTTTTTAAAGATTTTATTTATTTATTTGACAGAGAGAGCACAAGCAGGGAGAGTGGCAGGCAGGGGGAGAAGGCAGGCTCCCTCCTGAGCAGGGAGGTAGGGGTGTAGGGCTCAATCCCAGGACCCTGGGATCATGACCCGAGCCGAAGGCAGACGCTTAACTGACTGAGCCACCCAGGTGTCCCCCATTTCCCTTATTTTATATGGGAAAAAAAAGATCATGTATCACAGGAAACCCCAAATTCCCATCCAATGTCCTCAAAGATAACTGAAACACAGTAAATGCGTATAAATACCCAACGTGCTCTATACCAGGAAGTAAACTGCTTTAAAGGTGATTTCCTGCTGACCAGCCAGTTAGCATGGTGGTAAACAAGTGGTTACCTTTGATGAAGTGACACAGTCTCCCAGCATGAGTGACACATGACTCATTTGTCAGGGCGCCTACACACAGCTCTGAATTGTGTTGGATTTGGAGTGCAATTTGACTCTTTCCTCACACATGTCTTGAAAATACCATATTACATTTTGGGATTTAAATATTACTAATTATTTAATTAAATTAAGGGGTGCCTGGGTGGCTCAGTTAAGGGTCTGCCTTCAGTTCAGGTCATGATCCCAGGGTCCTGAGATCGAGCCTCGCATCATGCTCCTTGCTCAGCGGGGAGTCTCCCTCTGCCTCTGCATCTGCCCCCCACTTGTGCTCTCTCTCTCTCTCTCAAATAAAATCTTTTTTTAAGAAATAAAAGACTCAGACTTCATTTAAAAAATAATTAAACCAATAATTTAATAATTATAATTGATAAATTTAAATAAGTCTTGATTTAATAATTATTATTAGTGTTCCCATATAACTAGTAGCTAGAAATAGGAGTATTAAGGGATTTATTGAGTCTAGAAAGTTTGGGGTGTTAAAAACTAATAAGCAAAAAGAACCCTAATATACATTCTACCAAGAAAATGTTAACCAGGATGATATTCTGATTTGTTTCCCTATTGGCGTCTTTATATAGCGGGTCTTTTATGATCTGGTCTCTTGCATATGTGTGTGTGTATATTTATTTTGATATATCTTTTGGGATCTATAAATGCTGTTTTTGTTCTGAGAGTTGCCATTATAAATAGTAAATATCACACCTTACTCTCCTCTTTTTTACATACTATCTATAATAAGCAGTAACAGAGTTAGCTAGGGATTCTTCCCTTTCCTCCTCATGTCTAATTTTAGATGGTAGCCTAGGGCAGTTTCCTTGGCATGCTTTCCTTAACTGGTACACTTTCATATGCTTTCTCTTCCATTTTTGTCGTAGGATATTGTCAGTGCTTGGTATTTGCATCCTTGTTGTGTCCCCTTTATCTCCCATCATTTATTCCAGTTCTGTAGTTAAGTGTATTCACCTTGTGCCACTGACTTTTTGGTTTCTGAAGCTTGTTCTCTAGATGATTCCTCCTGAAGGTCTCCTGTAGCCATCCATGCCTTGAGATGTTTCATATTGGTAACTTTATTCTTTTTTTTTTTTTAAGATTTATTTATTCGAGAGAGAGTGAGCATGCATGGGAGGGGGGAGGGAGAGAGAGAATCCACAACAGACTCCCTGCTGAGCACAGAGCCTGACATGGGGCTCAATCTCACAACCCTGAAACCAAGAGTTGGCTCCTCAAACAACTGAGCCACCCAGGCACCCCTTGGTCACTTTATTCTTTGAGGTCAGTTTGGATATAAAATCTTTGGTTTATATTTTCTCTCTTTGAATACCATAAATATGTGCTCCACTATCTCAGGGTATGAAGTGTTGCTGATGAGAATCCTAATCCCTATATTAATTTCTTTCCTTTATAAGTGAATTGGGGTCTGGGAAGGGCATGAAAGGAGGAGTAGATACCCAAAGCATGATCTTTTAAAGCTCCATAATTTAATCAGAATATAGTTCCCTGTTGGCCATTCTAGCTCAGATTCTCCAGTGATGCCGTATGCCTTCTGGTATGTTGGTTCTGGTCCCCTCCTTTCATACTCCCCTCCCACTCTCCCATCTGCCCCAGGAAATGTTTTTTGAATTATAGTTCTAAAGAATTCTATTGTTTTGGGGCGCGCCTGGGTGGCTCAGTCGGTGGCTCAGTTGAGTAGCCAACTCTTGATTTCAGCTCATGTCATGATCTCGGGTCATGGGATCGAGCCCCATGTTGGGCTCCTCGCTCAGCGAGGAGTTTGCTTGAGGATTCTCTCTCCACCCACCGCCCTGCTCATTCTCTCTGTCCTCCCCATCAAATAAATCTTAAAAAAAAAAAAAAAATTCTGTTGCTTTTATTTTCTTCTTCAGGAGCTCCAATTATACATGTGTTAGAGCCTTCTTTCCCTATCTTCATTATTTTCTCTCAAATCCTTTTTATTTGTTTGAGGAGTTTTGTGCAGATGAAAAATCTATTCTACCATCATGATTTTGCCTGCCAGATAACCTAATCGAGGTGGGACTGCCAACCTCCATGTCTCAGCTGACTCTGGAGATTTGGTGATAGGCTACTGGGCCAGAAGGACAACATCCTGTTCTTGTCCTATTTATTTAAGCCCTCAGCTTCCCTACCTTGTTCTTATATCTGCAGTTGTTATAAGAAGTCAGTAGTACAGTTGTTAACAAAACAAAGCAAAAGCCTCTAACGCAAGCAAAACAAAATAAATTCTTCTTGGAGTAGGCATATAGACCTACTCCAGCTGTGCAGGGAGATGGCAGGGAACCCCAGTTTGCAGATTAGATTATTAGTGGTTGCCCACACAGGAATGGGTCTAGGGCCAGAATTCAGGAGCAAACACCACTCTAAACTATGATGTTCAAGGGCACAGTAGAGTCAGGTTGGAAATAGAAAGCATGCCCCTAGATTTTCAAGTACTTACTTTTAATCCATTTCAAGGAATCAAAGCCACTCGTGACATCTGGGGCACAAAACCTACCTTGATAGGCCTTTCCAGGTCTTTCTTCGTAAACCTCATCACAACCAATCCCAGAATCGTCAGGCCATAAAACAGCCATGCGGCAAAACTGAAGTAATTGACCAATGAGTTTATGTCACCAGGGATGATATAAATAGTCGCTATGATACCCTAGTGGAAGGAAGAGTGAATTCTTAGGTCACAGGATCCCTGTCATGTCACAGGAGACTGGAGAAGCAATGTCTCCTGTGAATGAACATGCCAGCATGAAAGAAACCTATGCATCCCTTTATAGTTGGGGTTAAACCAGGCTTTGGCTATGGTGAGTGTTCTCCCTGAATCCTGATGGAAAGGACTTGGAAAACGTGTGACTCTTTGAAGTTGCCATTTTAAGCAGGGGAAAAAACAAGGTATGCATGTACACCGCACCAGCTTTCTGATGGTAAATGTTCCTGCCAGAGAGTCTTCGTCAGGGGAAAGGGCCCTGCCTGGGCTGCGACACTCAGCCTGTCTCAGCCTGGTCTGGACCCGCCTTAGCTGTGTGGCCTGGGCCTTGTCCCAGGAGGCCTCTCCTCATCTTCAAAGGGAATAGGCTGATGGAGAGTAGTGCTTCTCCTTCGGGGTGGAAGGTGTGGCCCCGAGGCTGGGCTTGGACGGTCCACAGGTGCCAGGGACAGTGGCACACAACCAAGGACTGTCACCCACTGAGAAACTCCAATTAGAGGATGTCAGAGGGCCTCTACTGCGCAAGGGCGCCATGACGTCTAAATTATGGGGCCATAAGTACTTATCAGGGGCACCTGGGTGGCTCAGTCATTAAGCGTCTGCCTTCGGCTCGGGTCATGATCCCAGGGTCCTGGGATCAAGCCCTGCGTCGTGCTCCCTGCTCAGTGGGAAGCCTGCTTCTCCCTCCCCCACTCCCCCTGCTTGTGTTCCCTCTCTAGCTGTCTCTCTCTCTCTGTCAAATAAATAAAATAAAATCTTTAAAAAAAAAAAAAGAAGTACTTATCAGTAACCACTTCATGAATGCCTTATTCTCCTTCCCTGTAAGCTAGTGGGGTTTTGTATAGTTTGTTACCAGGGATCCAGACCTACAGATGTACATGTAAGGAGTATAGAGGGTAGGAAGTTGGAAGAGTCAAACAGTGTCTTTCACGGACAAATTCAGAACAAGGAGCAGACGTGTTGGGCAATGTTCGAACTGTCATGGGCTTTTTCACCTATTTCATGTCGAGGAGCAAGGGAGCCTGGGCCATGTGAAAACCACTGGGCTTAGCAATACCGGGTTCCTTCAGGGCCCCTCTGCCTTTAAGGGGGAGTCTGCTGGCGCAACTCATACTTACATAAAAGACGATGGCAGGCGCTGGAGTCAGGCGCTTGACGCTGATATAGGACAGCACTTTGAGCATGTGGCCTTCCCGGCCCGCCACGTACACAAGTCTGAAAAAACAGTAATGGAGGCCTCATGGATGGGCGTGTGGCTGTTGTACCATCACTGGGAGTCACTACCAAGGCCGCGGAGACAGGGACTGAATTGGAACCTGGCATCTCCAGTGGGAGGTGGTCTCAGGGAGGTGAGTGAATTTTGGGGAGGTGAGTGAGGTGGTTGAATGCCCCTGAGAGCGAGGCATCCCGGTGCCGTGGGTCGTCTACATAGGGGAGAGCTGGGGGCTGGCTTAGGGTTTGGGTAGGACCTTTCAGGAGGAGACACCTACTCCTGTGTCCTCAAAATTATGCTTTCACGTAAGGGAAAAACCAGTCCGGGACCAGCGGACCCCCATGCTTGGAGCAGACAGAGGCAAACACAGAGGCGCCTGGTACTTCCTAGATACACGCTGTACAGAATTTTCATATTAAACAAAAAACCCAAAAGATGAATTAAGGGTGGGTCAGCAGATGCAAACAAATGGCTTAGTCCCCCCACCCCCACTCCCAAGAACTCCTGGTGATTCAGAAATCTGAAAGACTATGTTTAAAATGTTGAAGAGAGAAAAAGGGGGAAAAAGCCAAACAATTTTTAAAAAATAAAAAACTACCATAACTTAAGAATGTAATCAACAGTTGTTAATCTAGGTTCAAAGTGAAAAAAATACATTGGAAACTAGATCTGATACCACCTCACACCAGTCGAAATGGCTAAAATTAACAAGTCAGGAAACAACAGATGTTGGCGGGGATGCAGAGAAAGGGGAACCCTCCTACACTGTTGGTGGGAATGCAAGCTGGTGCAGCCACTCTGGAAAACTGTATGGAGGTTCCTCAAAAAGTTGAAAATAGAGCTACCCTACGACCCAGCAATTGCACTACTGGGTATTTACCCCACAGATACAAATGTAGGGATCCGAAGGGGCACCTGCAGCCTAATGTTTATAGCAGCAATGTCCCCCCAGCCAAACTATGAAAAGAGATGTCCATCAACTGATGAATGGATAAAGAAGATGTGGTGTATATATACAATGGAATATGACTCAGCCTTCAAAAAAATATCTTGCCATTTGCAACAAGGTGGATGGAACTAGAGGGTATTATGCTAAGCAAAATCAGTCAATCAGAGAAGGACAACTATATGATCTCATATGTGGAATTTAAGAAACAAAGGATTATAGGGGAAGAGAGGAAAAAATAAAACAAGACAGAATCAGAGAGGGAGACAAACCATAAGAGACTCTTAATCATAGAAAACAAACTGAAGGGTTGCTGGAGGGGAGTGGGGGGATGGGGTAACTGGGTGATGGACATTAAGGAAGGCACGTGATGTAATGAGCACTGAGTGTTATATAAGACTGATGAATCACACTGATCTCTACCTCGGAAGCCAATAATACATTATATATTAACTGAATTAAAATTTTAATGTTCTAATTATAATAAAAGATACTAGATCTGAGAGGGGCACCTGTGGGGGCTCAGTTAGGTGTCCGACTCTTGATTTTGGCTCAGGTCATGATCTCAGGGTCATGAGAGCAAGCCCCACGTCGGGCTCCATGCTCAGCGTGGAGTGTGCTTAGGATTCTCTCTCCCTCTGCCCCTCTCCTCACTTGTGCTCTGTCTCTAAATAAATAAATACAATCTTAAAAAAAAAAAAAAACAACCTAGATCTGAGTTATGAAGGGTAGAGAAATGGAAAATGTAGACAGGAAATTGAGAGAAGAAACAAGGAGAAGCCCGAATATGTTGAATGGGGTAAGGCAAACTGGAAGAGTAGAGAGCTTTCACGGAACTGAAAAACAGCTTTCACATTAAACCCAGCTCAAGATAAAAACATACCCAGATACAAACAGTGTGGAAGGAAAAAAAATTTCTTAAGCTTCCAAATTTAAAAGATTAACTACAAAATTAGGACAAGCAGAACGATAGCAGACTTGGCATGAGACTATGTTCAAAGCGATGAGGGACATTGGTTTTCAGATTCTGGTGCTGTATAGCTCAACTATCATTCAGGACTAGGGGCAAAATAAATACATTTGTAGGTGAACAATAACTACAACACATTTTCTGTTCTCTGGTCCTCACTGGAAACTATTTGGTCTACTCCAACAGGCAGAAAGAAACTGAACTCAGGAGTTGATTGAAGAAGCAGGTATTAAGGAAACAGCAGTAAAACATGTTGGTATGGATGTAAGTACATACATTTTTAATTCTTGTCAGGATGAACTTTTTCTGGAGGGGCGGGTTTATAGACAAGGTGCAGCTTATCTACTGGACAGTGCAAAAGGGGGAGCCCTCACAGGACAGGGGGGAGAATGGAGATGCTGACAGACTCTCTTAGGTATTTGAGTTAAATTTGAAGAGTAATTGCTAAAAGAGAGAAATAAAACTTCCATATCAGTAAAAAAAAGAAAGGACATTTGATGGATAATAAATCAGGATAAGATTTTTCAAAAGCCAAGAAAACACAGTATGTTGGAAATCAATCCCACTGTAATAGGAATCACATCAACTGTGGTCAGATGTTGCTTGCCCGGGCAGGAGACAACCTGGGGGGTTGTTGAAAGAGACACAAGCCAAAGCCCCATGATGCCAAGGGTGGAAGATACAAGGGGTGGGATGTGTTACCCAAAGCAGCAGCCTAGAGCCTGCAGAGTCTTCAAGAGCAATATTGTACAAAACAGAATTTAAGGCAAAGAGAGTTCCCACTGAAAACAGAAGCCGTCTACCAAGAAGATGCCAAAACTGGAGCCCTTGAAACATAGAAGGCCAAACTCAACAAATCCACTGAGAGCAGGAGATTTGAACAGTCAAGGCACAAGCTTGACGATGATATAAAAATCAAGAATGTAAACACAATATACCTTATTTTCAAGACCCTAGGAAGCATTTATAAAAACTGCAGTAAGCCACTTCAGGGAAGGCATAAAGCTTCTAAAGAAGTGAGATCATTAGGGTGCCTGGGTGGCTCAGTCGTTAAGCATCTGCCTTCGGCTCGGGTCATGATCCCAGGGTCCTGGGATGGAGCCCCACATCGGGCTCCCTGCTCAGCGGGAAGCCTGCTTCTCCCTCTCCCACTCCCCCTGCTTGTGTTCCCTCTCTCACTGTGTCTCTCTCTGTCAAATAAATAAATAAAATCTTAAAAAAAAAAAAAATGAGATCATAAAGATCCCACACTCTGACTACAATACAATAAAATGAGAAGTGAGGAATACATAGGCCAAAGAGCCTGTTTATTTAAAACTACATATTTGAGGGGTGCCTGGGTAGCTCAGGTGGTTAAGTGTCTGGCTCAGGTCATGATCTCCAGGTCCTGGGATCAAGCCCCTGTCGGGCTCCCAGCTCAGCAGGGAGTCTGCTTCTCTCTCCCTCTGTTTATGTTCTCTCTCATAAACTTTTAAAAAATAAATAAATAAAACTACATATTTGAACTTTGAAAAAGACATAAACATGGCATCGAGTTAGTTCCCAGAACAAGCCCATGAAACTGGGAGGAAAGGAGTCTCCAGATGGAGGGAGACAGACTCCAGGTGGTGCTGTAACCTCATGCTTTAAACCCCTCAGCGCTCACAAACCTCTCTGTAAATTCCATGGGCTCAGAAAGCAAGCGGACACTTGGAACTGGACACAGTCATTGCAAGTGTGGCTGGAGGGCTGAGCAGGCAAGGAGGAGTGAAGCACGGACATGGGAGCACTGGTTTTTCCCGATGTTACCTGAGGGGGTTTGGGAAGCATCCCTATGCACAGTGATAGCACAGGACAGGGCCCATTGTGAAGCAAAGTGAACCCAGCACCCTGGGCATGAGAATGACGGCATTCAAACCAGGAGGAGAAAGGATGGACTATCAATAAATAATATCAGGACGACAGGTAGAAGTTTGAGGGGGAAAAGTGAGATTTATGCCTCATATCAAAATATATTCCAGGGTGATCAAAGAGCTAAAGTAAAATGCTGGAAGAAAACACAGGTGGGTATTCTTGAAAGGAGGAAGGTTTGTCTATGTGACATAGAAAACTCAGATACCAGGAAACAAAAATCTTGGATGTGACCCCACAAAAATTCTATCCAACATCAGTCATAATTCTGGCCAACCCCCAAGCTGCACAGGTACAGAACTATACAGAATTAATTCAGAATGGATCATAAATCTAAGTGTGAGAGCTACATCTATTTAAAAAAAAAAACAACTTCTAGGGTAAAACAGAAGAGAAAATCTTTGTGACTTTGGGTTGCACAAAGGCTCTTAGATATGATAACAAAAGCATGACACATGAAAAAAAAAAAGCATGACACATGAAAAAAAAATGGCTAATCAGCACATGAAAAGATGCTCAGTATCACTAGTCATTAGGGAAATGCAGTTAAAGCCACAACGACATGACTAATACCCACGAGAAAGACAATGCCAAGTGTTAGGATGTGGAGAAACTGGAATGCTCATGAATGGCTTATGGAAATTAAAATGGAACAGCCACTTAGAAAACTGTCAAGCCGTTTCTGTAAAAGTTAATCACAAATTTACTCTCTGAGCCAGTGTTTCTACTAGGAAGCTACCTAAGAGAAATGAAAACATATGTCCACAGAAACACATGTGTGTGAATGTTCATGGCAGCACTGTTCATAGTAGCCAGAAGCAATGCAAACCTCCATCTGGTGAATGGATAAACAAAATGTGGTATATCCATATAATGGAATACAATTCAGCAGTTACAAGGAATGAGCAGTTTACATGCTATGACATGGATGAACCTCAAAAATAATATGCTAAGTGAAAAAAAGCCAGATGCAAATGACACAGTGCATCATTCCATTTAAATGAAATGTCCAGAAAAGGCAAAGTTACAGACACAGGAGCAGGTTATTGGTAGTTAGGGATGGAGCAGGGAGCAGGGATGAACTGCAATTAGGCAGGAGTGAACTTTTTGGGATGATGGAAATGTTCTAGAACTGGACTGTGAGGATATTTGCACAGCTTTATAAATTTACTAAGATCATCGAATTGTATAATTGCAAAGAGAGTTTTATGGTATTTAAACCTCAGTAGAGCTATTGAAATTGTGTTTCTGTATATGAGCAACAAACTTATCAGAAACTGAAATTTTAAAAAATACCATTTACAATAGCACAAAAAATATGAATTTTTTATTTGAGAGAGAGCACGAGAGAGCACAAGCCAGGGGGGAAGGGCAGAGAGAGAGGGAGAAGCAGACTCCCCGTTGAGCAGGCAGGGAGCCTGATTCGGGGCTTAATCCCAGGACACCAAGACCATGACCTGAACCGAAGGCAGACACTCAACCAACTGAGCCAACCAGGTGCCCCCAAAATATGAATATTTTGGGATGAATCTGACAAAATATATGCAAGAGCCATATACGGAAACTACTTAAGAAAACATTTTTTTTTTTTAAGATTTTATTTATTTGAGAGAGAGAGAATGAGAGAGAGCAAGCACATGAGAGGGGGGAGGGTCAGAGGGAGAAGCAGACTCCCCGCCGAGCAGGGAGCCCGATGTGGGACTCAACCCAGGGACTCCCGGATCATGACCTGAGCCGAAGGCAGTCGCTTAACCAACTGAGCCACCCAGGCGCCCGAAAACATTTTTTTTTTTTAAATTAAGACCTAAATAAAGGGAGAGGGTCCTTGCCCTTAGATTAGAACAATTAAATGGCAGCCCTCTCTAAACTGATCTACAGATGGAACACAGCCCTGGTCAAAATCTTTGAAGGCCTTTTGGTAGAAACTGACAAGCAGATTCTAAAATTCATCTAGAAAGGCAAAGAGCCCAGAATAGCTGAAGGCTTCTGAAGAAGGGATGTCTGCTTTGACACAGCTTCAGAAGAATGACTTTGTGTCTATCGCGTGTCAGTGTATAATCCGTGGCAGTTCCACTCTCAGAAATATATCCATTCAGAACCCTGGACAACCAGGCAAAGACGTGTTCCAGAATGTTCCCTGGGGCAGTGTTGATGAAAACAGCCCCACTCAGCCCACGAGCTGAGGTTATGTGAAATTGTGCTACGTCGTAAAATGGAATACGACGCAGCCGCTCATGGTCTCTGGAGCCGGAGGGTCCAGAGGGTTGGTGGGGCTGGCGAGCTATGCTTGTTTGTGTGAGTAACGTTTGAGACGAACAGGACCTCAGCTGTTTGCTGTCGTGCTACAGACACAGTTGGGTAGTGACAGACTGCCATGGCCTGAAAGCCTAAAACGTTACTCTCTGATCTCGATTATGTATACATTCACAGGAGAAGATGTTCAAGAAATATCCATAGGTGAGAAACAGGACAAGGTGAAAAGTACCACCAGTGTGCCTGTCACCCTGTGTCCCCAAGCTCCACCTTGTCCTGAAGTTGGTGGTGCTTCTCCCTCCCGAGGAGCATAGAGCCTCGCTTCCGTGGGGCCACCATGCCTAGTGCCAGTGTGCAGGCTCGGCGACGCTTTCTGCTCCCTTTCCAGGACTTTGGGTTTTCTTTCTTTCTTTTTTTTTTTTTTAAGTTTTTATTCAAATTCCAGTTAGACATTGGGTTTTCTGTTATGCCATGAGGTGTTAGCCTGGCAGAGCCCTAAGGACCTTTGCCCTGAGTCTTGTCTTCCTCAAGTGTGGGACGGGCTCTGCTGCCCTCTGCCCCTGGGGTGAGTGCGGGGTTCCCCTACCTGCCCGCTGTGAAGCAGGTCCCGTTGGCGGCACCAATGGTGGAAAAGGCCACGAACAGTGGAACCACCCAAGAGGCCGGATAGAGAACACGGTCGCCAAACGTCTGCAGAGAGAAGCAGAGGAGTCCTGTGGGTCTTGCACGGCCCGCAGGAGCTGTGGGTCCCAAGGAAGCTGCTGGGCCCTGCCTGGGGGCTGGGCCCCCAGCCCTGGGGGGCACGGCCTCTGACTCCCCTCCAGGAAAGGAAAAAGTAGACAACCTCTCAGGAGGAAAACAACTTAGCCTTTCTTCCTCGGAGTGCAGGAGAGCTGCCCATACTGACTCCATCCTTGGCCCTCCATCTTGTTCATGTCTGCTGGATGACCTCTCTTGGGGCTATGTGTTCAGGGTGCCTTGGGGATTAATATCCATACCTTAGAAATACCTGCCAAGGTCGGGATGTGGGGAGGCTTGTTTTGGCCTCCCAGGATTCTGTTAGAACATAGTTTTTCCCTTTCCTGGTGCACAGGTGGTGCCACAAGATCTAATTAAAGGTAGGCTGTCAGTGGGGTGCATGCTAGCCCTTTGCTGTCACCACAGTGCCCTTCTGTGTGCCACCTCACTCTATAAAATCTGTGGACTAAGGTCCAGACTTTGCAGAGAATAACTGCACTGAGCCTGGATCAACCTCCACCTGATTCCCCTGTCAGGAAGTTACTCTGAATAGAACCCTGTGTAAACTATATGGAGTCAATGCTTCATTTTTGTCTCAAAGTGCCTTCTCAGTTTGAGGGATACTTTACTGTCCCTCCCCGACCTTCTAACACAGAGTAACAGAAATCTCCTCTCCACCTGTCCCTGTACTAATTTTTCATCATTTCAGTGTCCTTCCAACACCCCGGCCTCACGCTTCCTTGACCCCCTCACTCAAAACGACCTTGTTCTCCCTGCACCTTAACCACCTTTCCTTGTGGTCAGTGACCTCATTGTGACCAAGACATCTCTCCCTGCTCCCCATTCCTGTCACCTGTTTGCAGTTCATTTCCTGTCCCACCCCACTTCCACAAGGCCTCCAGCATGTGGACCCCCCCACCTTTCCTACTGACCCTCCCCATTCCCTTGTGATTGAGACCCCCCCCTTGCCCAACTTAATTTCCACAGTTACTATAATTCCCTCCTTTGATCCCTCCCCTGAACTTTCTCGCCCGCATCTGTGTCTGTCAAAACCCCAGCTCTGCTCCACCTGCATTCTGTGTCAGGGCCCAGGCCACAAACTGAACCGGAAGGCCACCCTTCTCCTCAGGCGGGTCTTTGCTGCCGCCCTAAACTGCTCACTCTGCCTGGGTCCTAGACCATTATTTCCCTCATCCCCAGAGGGTACCTCAGCTTGGGCATTTGTGACTTCCCCCAGAGCGTCCTGCCCAGACTCTGGGCACTCACCACGGCCACCGCCTGGGACTGCAGGAGCTCGGTGGGAGTCATCACAGTAAAGTAGGAAACATTCATGAGGATGTAGCAGCCTGTCACCAGCGGGATCCCGATGATGATGGCCAAGGGCAGGTTTCTGGGAGGGGCAGGGACCCAGGGTTGGACCAGAGCATCACGTGAGAGCCTCACAGGAAACACCAGTTTCTGTGCTGTCCTTTCTTCCCATCCGCCCGGCCAGCCCTCCACCTCTCCCTGGGGTGGGCTGGGGTCCCCACTGCCACAGCAGGGGCTGTGGGCTATGACATCGTCAAATGAGAAAGAACTCTCCTGCGCTCAGACTCCAGGGCAGTGAGGCTGAACTGTTTATAAAGCAAAATCAACCCGAGATAAAGCTGGGGTTCATCCATCCTCCCAGCGACTATTCTGCTACCCAGAGCACAGCCAAGCTCTAATGGGTATATGGAAACGAGCTTCTGAGGAACCATTCGCAGTCTGGGAGGGGGTCCGCTTTTTGCACGGGGAAGAGAAACCTGCTTGCCAGCCCGCTGTCTCCCACCTGACTTAGCTTTCTTACCTGAAAGGGTTTCTAAGTTCTTCCGTGATGTAATTGAGTTGATTCCTAGGCAAAGAAAAGTAACATGAGTGACCTAACTTTGGCCTTCTTTGCTGAGATCGTAAAACACACCATAAGGGCTGGCCTCATTTCAGACTCTCCACCACAGAGAAAATTCTCTGGCAGGAATTCAGGGTAATTGCGTTCAGAGAAAGCCCTAGTGATGGTGGGGCTCCCAAAGGTCTGCACGTCTGTCAGTGAGAAGTCTTTGCCCTCTGTGGGAATCATGGGAATTTGCCAGAATTATCAGAGTAATGAGTCCCCAAGCTGCTTTGAAAAACTGGAAGGTTCGCTGAGAGGAGAATGAAAGCTGCTTTGCATGAGGGGAAGACCAGTGTCACAGAGGGTCACGCTTCTTCCTTCATCGACTAGGCCTCGTATTTGCACAGCTGAAATGGAAGGGCTGCGGAATATTCTTGCCATGTTGAGTGCCTGGGCAGCCCTGACAGCCTCCCATCCCGCGGAGCCTATCTGTGTCGATGACGCTTCTGACCCGGGCCCACCACCGCCTGCCCTTGGGCCACTCTGCAGGGCTGGGAAAGGGGCAGGGGCTTTGGTGTCTGTGGGGTCCGAGGAGAACAGAAGGGGGGCAGTGCTGAGCAAAATGGAGACATGGAGGTGAACGCTAGGGTCCCCCCCAAACCCCAGGAGGGAAGGGTCCTTGCTTTCCTTGGCTTCAGTCTAGTAGCCTGGGACACCCCGACCAGACGTGAGTGACGTCTCAGGGGGCCTTACCATCCGTCGTACGCCCAGAGTCCGTTATAAAATGCCAGACTGATGGCTCCCACAGACAGTTTTGTGCCCTCAAAAGAATTCTCAAAATTCTTTGTATTTCCTGTAATCAAGCCAGACAGTGAATTGTGGGTGTCAGAGGACCAGACTGGGGCCCTGCCTCACACCTGTGCCACAGAAGGGCACGACTCGTGACCTCAGGTTGTCACACAAACTCTGGAAAGCAGGGAAACCACAGCTGCTTTCGGCCGAACTCCTGCCGGGCTTCCTGAGAGACAGGCCCGGGAGCACAACCTCCGGAGGACAAGGCTGTGCCCGTGGCACCCGCCCTCCCCTCCGGCCTGCGGTCACCTTGGGCCAGGAGGACCAGGCCGCTGAGGATGATGATGGCCACGATCACCAGCTTGGCCCCTGTGAACACGTTCTGGACGTAGCTCCCCAGTCGCACGCTCAGCGAGTTCACCGTGGTGATGAGCACTGGAACGAGCCAGAGCAGGGGTGACATGGCGCGCCCTTGGGCCCAGCACCCCGGCTCCTTCCCCAGGGGCCTGGAGAGGGTCTCCCGCCCCAACCTGCCCTCTCCACCGCCTCATCTATCCATCGAGTGTGCCCACGCTGTGGAAGTGGCCAGGCCTCCTGTGAGCGCCGCCCCAGGGCTTCTGGCCCCCAGCAGACCCTGCCTCACCTGTCGCTGGCACTTCCAGGCCCAGCGGCCGCCCCCCACGTCACCCCTCCCCCCACGTCACCCGTCTCCCCCCGTCACCCCCCCACGCATCACCCCCTCCCCACACGTCACCCCCTCCCCATGTCACCCCATCACCCCACATCACCCCTCCCCCATCACCCCACATCACCCCTCCCCCACATCACCCCTCCATCACCCCCTCCCCAAGTCACCCCATCTCCCGTCACCCCTCCCCCGTCATCACCTTCCCACATCACTCCCTCCCGTCACCCGTCTCCCCCACATCACTCATCTCCCCCCACATCACCTCCCTCCCGTCACCCCCCTGTCACCCCCTTCCCCCATGTCACCCCCCTCTCCATGTCACCCCTCCCCCACATCACCTGTCTCCCCATCACCCCTCCCCCACATCACCCCCTCCCCACATCACCTCTCCCCCACATCGCCCCCTCCTGTCACCCCCTCCCCACATCACCCCTCCCCCACGTCACCCCCTCCCGTCACCCCTCCCCCCGCGTCACCCCTCCCCCCCACGTCACCTGTGGCAGGGCTTTCCTGCCCCCTGCCCAGGGCGTCACACTTGGGGACTCACAGATGGCAGCGGCAGCCAGGCATTTCACGACAACCTCAGGGGGCTTGCAGCCTGAGTAGAAGGGCGCACAGACATACTCGGAGAAGCTGAGGCAGATGATGGCGAAGGATGTGGGCTTTATGACGAACAGGCTGGTCCAGGAAAAGAGGTAGGCAGGGATGGGCCCGAAGGCTTCCATCAGGTAAGGGTACTCGCCCCCCGACTTGGTGATCATCGTACCAAGCTCCGCAAAGCACAGGGCCCCTAGAACACAGAGAGGAAGGGGTCCCCGCGGCCCCCGGTGAGGCGCTGCCCTGGTCTGCGGGAGCCTCCTCCCCTCTGGGGCTGTGCCCATGGGGCCACCCCGACTCTTCAGACCCCTGAGCTCTGGCCACGGCTCATTTCAGTGCAGCCCGATCTACACCAGCGGCCCACGGGTGTTGAAAGGGACCCCAGCAACGGCCAGGTGGGGGCACAGAGGGGGCCCGCATAGCCCGTCCCCACCTACCACACCTACCACTGGGCGAGCTTGCCAGGGAGGGGCGTCTTAATTACCCAGCGTTGCGAGGACCCCACAGGCCGCCCATATGATGAGGCAGGGCCCCACGGCTTCTGTGTTGCTGAGCACAGACTTGGGGGAGATGAAAATCCCAGAGCCGATGATGGTGCCCACGATGATGCAGATGCCGCTGAGCAGGCCCACCTGGGGTGTGGGGAGGGGGAGGGGCGTTAGTGCAGCTCCGACAGACATGCACAGCCCTGCCTCCCCGCTCCCCTCCCTCGGTGGCCCAGGCGCCTTTGGCCAGCACTGCAGCAGTTAACACCCAGCTTAGCTCACGACAAGTTCATTCATCCTCACCTCATGAGCTGGGTGTGCCTGTGTCACCCCCATGTTACAGAGGAGAACACGGAGGCACAGAAAAGTCACGTTACTGCCCAGGGTTGGACAGCCAGCTCAGGTTCCATGCTCCCGACCTCTACCCTGACTGCACTTGACAAAGTGACCCAGACGGTCCTAAAGGCTGGTTTAGCAAATAATGACATCAGGGCTCTGGTCTGGGCCAGGGGCCTCGCAGGGAGCAGAGGCGGGGGCAGGGGGAGAAACCAAGGCCTCCAGGGACAGGAACACTCCGAAGCCGTGAACTTTCTCTGATGCCATTTTGCAGGGTGTGAGCTTCCTGCCAACAAGCCCCGACTCAGACACAAACCATAGAGTTCCATTCCTATGACATTTAGGAACAGACAAAACTAACCTACAGGGATGGAAACTCGGGACTGGGGGGGCCCGCCTGGGAAGGGGCAAGAGGGAATTTTCTAGAGTGATCAGTTTGTCAAAACTCATCAAACTGCACACTGAAGATCTGTACATAAATTATACATGAATTAAGAGAAAAAACTTTTTTAAAGGGAGACAATGTGTGACTCAGGTCCCTACTTACAGCATCAGCCCTCAGCATCCACCAGGCCTGAGTTCTGAAGTCCGAGGTGAACATACCCACTCACCTATCTGGGCAGAGGCTGTGCTCAGGGTTAGAGCCCAGTGAACAAGGAAGACCCCAGCTGTGGCTTGGCAGCAAGGGTCACACGCAATTGGGGAGGGCCCGGGGAGCAGGGACAGGGCCCATTCTGGCCTCAGGGCTGGCGTGCACTAGCAGGACAGTCTTGGCTTTTCTCCTCTAAGGGCCCATTTAGCTGACCAGCCTGGGAGCCCTCCCGAATCCTTCCTTCCACTGAGGTCTGCGTTCACCCGGAAGCTGCCCGGCTTTAGGGATGAGTTGAGGACATACCTGGGGTTAGCTCTGTGCTTTTCAGTGGGCAGCAACACCCATTAGCCAACTCCTAGGGAACCCAGATCCCAGGCCAACCCACAGTCAAGCCATGCCATCCCCCAAATCCCTCCTCTATCCCTTCTGCCACCAGGCAGGGGAGTTCTTGGAGGCTCTGCCCAAGGCTTAGCCCACTCGGTAGGCCCTCAAAGCCAGCCTGATCTTGTTCTGGGGCTCTCCCTTCTCATCCTGGGGGCTTGAAGCTGAGCCTCCACGCCTATCTGCCTGCAAGCTCCCCTTCCTTACAGCCCCAGTGCCAGCCCTGAGTGACACGGGCCCCCTCTGGGGTGCCGGCACCTCCAAGTCCAGCCACTACTACGTTCCATCTCAGGGATCATCCACGTCACACCCATGTCACACTTGCTACCCCTGCTAGACACTAAAAAGGAATAAGTTTCCCATCACTGAAGGAATACGAGGCACATACAAGGCAGATACTTGGTGAAGATGCTATGGGGTGGGGGGGGACTCCAACATCAGAAGGTCCTCTCTGACCATCCCTGAGGCCACGGGTCTGAGCAAACACCAGTCCCTCTGTGAGTCCCACCTGGCTCACAGAAACACACATGCATTAACCTCGCAGGAAAATGCTGAATTCACTGGCCAGAAGAAAAGAGGGAAGTCCAAGGAATTGTTTGCTTTGAGATGTGCTTTACAAATGAGAGATCAGTGAGGTCTTCACTGGGACCGCTGCTTAGCGTGCTTGACCTGGGAAGGGCCAGTGCCGAGGGACGGCCTTACCTCCTTCTGGAGACTTGTGGTCTTGGGTTCCTTACTCTGGATGCTCTGGATGGACCTCTCATCCTCTCTCCTGTTTCTCAGGCTTGTCTTCTCCATTTTCCCCTCCCACCAGTTCTAGGAGGCTGCAAGGAGAGCAGGGGCCTTGACTCAGCACATGCTGAGCGGACGAGACGCAGACCCGGGCTCAGCCAGCACGATCCTGGCTCACTTTCCTGGATGACCCTCCCGGGCCCATGGGCCGAGCTCCAAAAGCAGCTTCTTAGCTACTGTTTCCGGGAAGCACCCTTGTCAACCCCTTAGGGATGATCTGTTCATTCCTGGGGCTAACAACCCGCAGGACCACCATGGATGCTGTGGGGGGAGGGGAGGAGGAGGAAGGGGGCTCCTGTGCATTTTCCCAGCTGCCCCGCAGCCCCCAGGGGCCTGAGCTGTCAGCTCCTGCCCACCAGCAACGACACGCCCCAAAGTCATTCTACCTCCAACTCCTTTTTTTTCCAAAAGTAAAAAGAAGTATTTTTAAACATCCTGGAATATCCTTAGTGGAATCAAGTCTGACGAAGGAATGCTTTCCCCATGATCACTTCCCAAGATGAAGGTGCCTGGCGCGGGACAGACCCATAGAGGGGATGCTTCTGCACCAAGTGACACCAGGCATGCAATGCTGGGGAGAATCAGCTCCAGGCTGAGCTGGTTGGTGGTCATTTCCTGGACCCTTTCTCTAAATAAAGTCTTCCCCAGGCCCTAGCCGGGAGAGTGCGGAGCCTTCCCATCACCCTTCGGCCTTACCTGCTTCTTGCCCTCCTGGGGTCCGGGGAGCTGCCCAGGGCGGCTGCTGGAGGCGTCTGCGCGTCTGCACGGTCGCACCCAGGAATGGCCATGTCTTGTGCCCAGGAGTGAAGGAAGCCAGAAGGTACAGAGGTCAACAAAGGTAATTATTAAACTCTTTTTTTTTTTTCTTTTCTTTTCTTCTTTTTTTTTAAGCAATGAAGCTTGGATCCAGCGCACACAAAGGGGAGGGCCAGACAAGCTAATTTCTATGCAGAAATGTTTTTGTGCTGCTCATCATTGTTTTTTCCTTAACCAGATACCCCCCAATAGGCTACATCCTATTAGGGGAACTCCCTCCAAAAACTGGCATCAGAGGGGATAAACTTTGGAACCAGCTCTTTTATTGCCTTAACAGGTTAGATTTACAGCCCCTGGCAGGCGGCGCAAGGAGGAACCGCTGGTCAGGGCGGGTGCCTTCGTCCCTCCTGGCTCTGGCCAAGCCCGCAGGAGGGTGGGCAAGTTTTTCCGGCTCCCCTCGGGCAGTGACTGGGTTCCAGCACCACTGCCTGGGCAGAAGAGTTTGGCAACTCACCAACCCGGCCCTGAGGCCTCACCTGGGTGCCTGTGCCCAATGCACCTGCCGCTCCGGCCCCGGGGCAGTTCCCTTTGGCGGTATTGCTGTTCCTGTAGCCCAGTCTGCGCTCACCTGACTGTGGGGCAGAAAACAGGTTGCACACTCTCCCTTACCTGATGGGGAAACTGAGGCCCCAGAGATAATGAAGCATGTGAAGGCCACAGAGCTCTGGATGTGCTAGGAGGGGCTGGGGACAGACCCACCCACAGACCCCCCCCTCCCCACAAAGGCTGACTCAGGTGGCAGCTCTAATCCCTTGTCTCAGATAAGTTCTTTCTCTGGATGGAGAACCCCCTCCCCCCCCCTCGCCAGGAGCATTGTACTGTTATCAAAACCACCCCTCCGGTTGTTTTGCATTGGGATAAATCTGACAGCATCTCAGATATCCAAAAGAGATCAACGGTCACAGGAAAGAGCCGGGCAAGCCACGGGTGGTGGCACTGGGGGCACTGTGGGCGGGCGGGTTCCTCAGGCTTGTTTCTTAAAGCCACCTGAAGAACGTGGGGACCCTTAGTCTCAGAGTCAGTGCTCCCCTGTGCACCATGCCCAGCGCTTCCATGCAGGCTCATCCCCCCCTGAGCCGGAGGCCAGAGGCCCTGCAGGGTGGGACCTGCTGCCCCCAAACCTGCTCACAGGTTTGTTTGTGTCATTCCCTAAAGTCTTTGCTAATACAGCAGCACTCAAACTAGTTGCCGGTGGTGCGTCTATATCTGCAAAACACTGCGGAATCCTCCCTGGGTCAAAGTTGCCTCCAAAGGGCTGATGGTCTAAAAGAAGTCACGTGAGGAGGGCAGGGTTGGGAGGTGGGTGGGAGGATGTTGCCTGGAGCCAGCCCTGTGACTGCAGGTGACTCAGCCTCTCCCCAGGCGTCCAGATCCAAATCTGTAAGTATCCTTAGGTGGGCCTAGCACCCGCACACGCCCCTCCTGCAATGGTAGGGATCACCGAAAGTTAGCCTTAAACTTCTGTGGATCCCCTGGTCTCCTGGGACCTCTGCCAGGTGCTGAGTTTGGAACATCTGGGCATGTGGCTCCTTTGTTAAGGGTCAGAAATATACTTCAGTGAATTTGGGGTCCTTGGTGAGCTCTTCCTTTCATAAAGCTGTTGCTTCTTTTTTGTTTTGCCCTGGCAGAGTGAGTGTTCAACCAAATTAGCATAAGTCTTTTTCTGCCCTCAAGGAAAATAATCTGGATTTAACACCCCCACCCCCCACCCCAGCCGTGAATTCTCGGAGACCTTTGGCTCCTTAGGCATCCAGTTCTTCCACCACAGGGCTGAAGTTTCGCCCCACTCAACCTAGGCCCTCTCAGAGCACACTTCCTGGGAAGTTGCAGGGTTTTTTTTTTCTTTCATACAACTCTCTTACTTCTTAAGCTTCAGCTAAAGCTCTTGACCCTCACTTTCAAACTGTGCTTTTTCCCATTGCAAAGGTGCTTGCAGCATTATTTACGAACACCATCTGCATCTTACCGTCTCTATTCTCCACAGCCTCTTGCTCTCTTGTCCTCCTCTGCTTCACCTTCCTCCTTAGAGGAAGGGTCAAACCCTCACACAGATGCTGGACCTGCCTTTACCACTCAAACTTGATCCAGACGTGCCTTCAAGTTGTCGAACTTTCTTCAGTTCCTAAGGTCACGTGGTCTTATATTCCTTCCCGCTGCAGCTGGTAATGGTTCAGAGTCTTTGGGGGACCACAAAGACCATATAGCCAGGTGCTCACCAACTACCTGGATTTGGGGCAGAAGAACTTGTAAAGAGTCCGTGGAATGTGCAGAGTCTTTAAAATGTCAAGGATTTACAGTCTCGCCATAAAACAAGTAACAGGAATTCACTCACTCCTTTAAACACTAACTCCCCGTTTGCTCCTTTGCCCCAGATCCTACTTTCTGTCTCTGAATTTGACTAAGTACGTCACGTAAGTGGAGCCATGCAGTATTTGTCCTTATGGGCCTGAGATACGTTACCTGGTCAGACATACAGGAACTCCCGTGATGCAGCAAATCCAGCCCTAGGGATTTACCCAAAAAGAATGAAAACACGTCCACACAAAAACCTGTGTACAAATGTTCCCAGCAGCAGGCTGGAGCACAGCAGCGTGCCGGGGCTCAGGCTCTCCACGGAGACAGGATGGGGAGTGGGGGCGGTCCCGGAGTGGTTTCTCATTTAGATGTGGGACACTTGAGGGGTTTTTGCTGCTAATGGGAAGCCTGTGTCGAACAGAGAGGCCGCCCGGAGTGACCCAGACCTTACATCTAGGAATATCTAGGGGTGTGTGTGTCCTCCTGGAGGGAGGGAACCCCCGCCCTCTGAGCCCAGCTGCTTGAGGAATCAAGGAGGTGACAGTCCCCTCCCTGCTGAGGGGAGTGGACCTGTGCCACACAGCTCACAAGCCCTGGCTGCTGGGAACTGCTCCCTCCCCCTCCCCCCCCTTAGCCTCGAGTTCACTCACTCACTCACTCACTCACTCACTCACTCCGGGGAGGTTTGCAGGCTCTGGCTAACCCCAGGGTCCAGTCTCCAATCTCTGGAATCCACTCATCTCTTTCCCTGCTTCTGCTCCTGCCCTGTTCTGCCCATTTCTGCTGGCTCCACTGTGCGAACCTGCGTGCGTCCTGGCCCCACGTGCAATGAGAAACATCTCCCCCAAGGAGCAGGCAGGGTCCCTGCAGAACCTCGGGAGGGCCCCGCTCTGTGGGTGCCCCAACCCCAGGACAGAGAGGGGCGGGTGCAACAGGGACTGGGTCACAGGCTGCCCTCCACCATGGAGTGGGCAACCAGCCTGGCCTCTCTCTTCCCAGTGCCCCAAGGCTCCAAGGAAGCCCCAGAGGCCGGACTGAACGCAGAGCCGCCTTCCTGGCCGGGGCTATGGTGTCATCCAGGACGTGGTGAGGGGGAAGTGGCTGCATCTGAGCAGGGCAATACCAGGGGCAGGGGTTTCACTGGCTGTCCACTGCCCCCCGTGGCCTGTGTTATTCACGCCCTTGCCCGCTTCCCTCCTTGCCCCACTAGGGGCGTGGGGGTCGCTCAGCTTCTGGGGCAATTTCACTGGAGAGAGGCACACAGCAGACCGAATGGGGCGGGTGGCCCTCTGTGTCCCCAGTGAAAGTGCCTTCGTGGTCCCCAAGCCTCTGGAAGCCTCCCTCCTCCCCATGTGTTCCCCCTCCTGCTTCCAGAGTCTGGAACCCCTCCACCCTCCCTCCTGGGACCATAGCCAAGGGGCTGTCCCAGCATCCACTCTGCTCTTTCATTTCCCCAGAGACAGACACCACCCTCCAGGGCTCCCTGCCCGAGTCCTCAGCGCCACCCGCTTCTCCCAGCGCTGTGTGGCCATGTGGCTCCGCCATTTGCCCTCCATCTGCAGTCTTATTGTCCCATTTTCCCAAAACTTTACTGGAATTCTTTCACTATGCAAATTCCGACTCATTCTTTAAGGGCACATACAAAAAAGGTCACCTGATGTCTCCATTATGTTGTAAAAACAGTACCCAAGGAAAGGCCGCTCTGGTGCCTCCCAGTCTGCGGGAGCTGCGTTTTCTTTCTGTGACTTTCTCTGGTGTTTCAACCACACACGTCTGTCCCCAGAGAACACACTGCCCGGCTTTGCATGGTTTTGAACATGACACAAGCGCATCACTGTGTTGGTACCACAGCCGGGGAAGGGCTCCTGTTGATGTGGGTGTTTCATTCTGCCAGGGGGCCCCCCGACCCCCCGCTTCAAGGGCATTTTCGGTGTTTCCGTCAGGGAGCTGTATGGACAGCATGCTCTGACCATGCTTGTACTGTTCCTCAAACTGGCTTGGTTGGCTTTGTCAGACACTCAATATTTTTGATGGGTTCAGTGGGTGTCCTTGTGGTTTCCCTGTCTCCTCTTCACGTACTTATTTATGTTACTCCTTCGAAATGTCCGTGCGCGCCTCTCCCCATTTTCTCTTGGGCTGTCTTCTGCTTCCTGGCCTCCTTCATGCTTTCTGGACCAAAGGCCTCTGTCAGCTCCGTGTGGCTTGTCCTTCCACTCAGGTGAAGAGCTCTTCATTAATTGTATTGCTGTCAAATGTGTTACTTTCCTCTGTGGTTAGAGCTTTCCGGGTCTTCTTTAAGAAATCCTTCCGTGGGGGCGCCTGGGTGGCTCAGTCAGTCGAGTGTCGGGCTCTTGGTTTTGGCTCAGGTCATTATCTCAGGGTCTTGAGATGGAGCCCTGTGTTGGACTCCATGCTCAGCAGGGAGTCAGCTGGAGATTCTCTCTCTCCCTCTGCCCCTCCCCCTCATTCTCTCTCTAAAATAAATAAATAAATAAATAAATAAAATCATAAAAAAAAATAAAAAAGAAAGAAAGCAATCCTTCCCTGACCCAAAGTCATGACCTATCTAGAAACTTAGTTTTGCCTTTCACATTTAGGTCCATACACAACTGTCCAAGAGAAGTATACTGTGAGTCACATATGTAGTTTAAATTTTTCCAGTGGCCACTTTTAAAAAGTAGAAACAAAAACAGGTAAAATTATCAATTTTCACAACAGATTTTATTTCACCCAACACATCCAAAATGCTATCTCAACATATAACCAGTATAAAAATTATTGGTGAGATATTTCACATTCTTCTTTTCATAGTAAATTTTCAGAATCTGGGGTATGTTTTAGGTTTACGGCACATCCCAATTTGGGGGCGAGATTTTCATCAGAAGTCCTCGATCTATAGTTAGATTACCTTTTAAAGTGTATTCAGTTGAAAAGGTGTGTTCTCACCCCCTTGTGCTCCAGCACATACAGAAGATTTCCTGTCACTGCACGGAGACCCTGCTTGTTCTGGAAACCCACGGATCTGGGGGCTTGTCCTGCTTTCTTCTCTTTTGGCTCCAAAACCAATAGATCTATCGCCTCGGTTCTGGAAGCTAGAAGTCCAAACTCCAGGTGTGGGCATGGGCCGTGCTCCCTCTGAAACCTGGGAGGGGTTCCTTCACGGCCTCTTCCTAGCTTCTGGGGTTGCGAGCACGCCCAGCTGTCGTCCTTGGCCTACAGCTACGTCTCTCCAACCCTGGCTGTTGTCACATGGCGTCCTCCCTGGGTGTCTCCGTCCTCACACAGTTGTCTTTTTTAAGGGCACCAGTCATCTGGCATGAAACACCAACCCTACTCCAGTCTGACCTCATCTTCCCTAAGTGCATCTACACCTACTGAGGCCTCGTCTTTCTTTACAGAATTTTCTTCTGGGGAAATCCAACTCCGCATCTAATGCCCACTGAAATGTTACCTCCTACCCACAGCCTTTCATGAACTTCTCTCCCCCGGACTCTCTTCCATGCTCCTCAGAGAAATGACATTTCTTATGTGGCTCCGAGTCCCTGGCTTGCCTTCCTGCAAGCAGAGATCGGCCCTTCAGAGAGTCCGGACACACTTCCTTGTGAAGCGGCTTGGGATCGCACGGCCCAGCACGAACTATCACTTGGGAATTCGGAGATAAAGGAGCTAGCAGGGTACCTAGAGACTGATCAGGTGAGCTTTCCTGCAAGATAGTGGGGCAGGGCATTGGGAGATGGGGGGAAAAGAGAACGTTCTGGGCTGTTCCTGGGAAATACTATTTTTTGTTTTGAAGGATCAGATCATGACTGTGCTTCCGTGCAACGAGGTTTTTGAATGTTCTGCACGGGGTTCACCCTGTAGCTCCCACAGCAGCCATGAAGGTGATGAGGCCATTGTTGCAGTCCTGTTTTCTTCCAAGCACCTAGCAGGCTCTGTAACTGTGTCTGCCTTTGTCACTGCTACTGTTCTCGACACCGTGCAGAGATAAGCACTCCGTGTATATTTGCTGACTAAATAAACTGCACTGAAAGAAACACAAATCAGGATTTCCTCCTCTCCTCAGAGTGGGAGGCCCCACGGATCTCCACAGAGAGAAGCTGCTGGGAAAGGGTGGCCTCTCCCTCTCTTCTTGGAGCCTGAGGGGCGGGAGCCACTTCGACCCACCCCCGCCGACCCTCTGAGCAGATCGACTGGAAAACTGAGGGCAGCTCCTCGCCTGCTGTCCCCTCAAGCTCACAGCCACATCCCTGCTGGGCCCCAGCCTCTCTGCACCCGGGCCGGAATTGCCCCGGACTAATACCAAAGGCAGCAGGGCTCCTGGGGCCCGTTTTATAACTGTTCACCTGATTGGGACCATTCTAGAGCCATATACAGATTCCCCAGGACCAAGCAGGAATGGCCCCGCTCCTGCTCCGATTGGTACCTGCAGGATGAAGCCCTACAGGCTCCTACAGGAGTCCCTCACAGCAGTCCGGGCTTTCCCAGGGCCAGTCTGGCCTCCCCGCCCACCCCAACCTCCAGCCCGAACGCCCCTCCTGCGGCTCCTGAGTTCTTGCCCCGGCCCACACAGCCCTCTCTGCCCTTCTCCAGCTCCTGAAACCCTGCCCATCCGGCAAGGCCCAGGGCATTCCAGTTCCCCCACGAAGCATCGAAGTTCAGTCCCTGGGCCCCTCAGCAGCTTTGTCTCTCGCCGCTTTGCCTGCCTGGCCCTCCTTCACACCCTGGACTCTGAGCCCACCTGCCACATGCAGACAGCAAACTAGCGGGAGGCTGGCAGAGCTGAGTGCTGCACGACCCCACCCCTGCCTGGCTGTGACGAGGTCCAGGGGTCACCAGACTTGCCAAGTATGTTTGTAACATGTAATAACTTAAGGCAGAAATGTACAAACGTTCACTTCTCCAGGGAACAAAATGTTCTCACAGAAGGTGGGACAAAGCCAGGAATGACAAAAGTGGCTCTCTACGTATGTGACAAGAGCAGGGTTCCCACGACAAGCCACCCTCCAAGCAGACGGCTGGAAGGTGAGAGACTCGCGGGGGCGCTGGGGCCTTGCAGCCTCTTTACACGCTGCCAGAGAGCTGCTGGGTTCTCTGGAAAGAACATCGAAGTTGTTTGCTAGGTCACCTCCGAGGGAGATGACAGGGAGTTTGAAATCCCGGTGTGTTGCCCTACCTCCGGTCAAATGAAAATAAATTAGAATCGTTGAACTGTTGAACAAGTTGAATAAAACGTAAAACTGTGATCTTCTATCTCGACTCCCAACTAGCAATCAGAGCTCAGGCATGTAACTTTCGCACCCAACCAGGGCCCAGGGCTGGCCTGCACCCGCACCGAGGCCGGGCTGCACTGGGAAGGGCCTGTAAAAGGCTGTGTTCTGGGATTCTGCCCTCCACACCACTCTCAGGGTCCCGTGGCAGCCTGATGTCCCACGTTCTTCCAGCATGCCAGGGACAAGCAGCCCTGGGTGGCCGGCACTGGCACCAGGAAGTGCCAGGGGATGGTCCTGAGAGGCTGGGGTCACCTGCCTGAGGAGGTGGCAGAGAGGAGCAGAACCCCAGCCCCTGGCATCCTTCTCGGTGGTGGGACTGGGGCAGGG